TCAAGCGGGAGGATCGACGGGCAAAGGGCTGACAAGAGCAAGAGCGGCAGCAAGTCGGCGTCGGCAGCCTGTAGGAGAGCCACAAGAGCTAGCGTAGTGCCATCTTGGGGATTGCCGAGGAGAAAAGCACCAGCTTGGGTGAAGAACGTACCTGGTCGCGTTAAACGGTCAGATGGAGCTGAGAAAATGGACGTGGAGATAGTTATCCGTAGATAGGCGATATCGAGAGAGGGAGGGAGGGAGGGAGGGAGCAGAAGTTCAAAACCCGCTCCGATACCAATGTGACGCATGTGCGGAGGGCAAGAGAGAGAGAGAGACGAGAAACAGCAATTGAGTGATGGTTCAATTTTGCCGAATGAATGAACGAACAACCAAAGAATGAACTGAACCAAAACTACCGACCTGGGCCTAGGTCGAAGTGATGTATCGGCTTAGGTCTCGGTCCGGAATAATCTGGTGCCGGACCAGGGTTAGGCCGACGGCCTGACTCTTATCCGGCCTCACTGTCGGGCCACAGGGGTACCGCTACACCACTGAATTATTGTTTGAGTTTAGGAGGGGAAAGATATTGGTGGTTTAAGCCACCAGTACTTGGCCCAACTGACTACTGAATAAAAACAAAAAGTAGAAACATCTCTAGTTGCATGAATTTTGACGCTTCTGTAGTGACCCGTACACTTCCTAAGATCGTGGCTTGTTAACAGGCACAACGTTAGGATGTACTGATAGTTTGAACCACCAATACCTCGCCTAACCAAAGACAAAAAAAAGGTCGAGGCCGTTAACGCGCCCCGACTTTCGGGGTTCGAGAAAGGTTGGGCACTGCCATAGGGGGAAAAGTTGGTAGGCTTAAGGAAAAAGGGCAAATGGACTGCAAGCCTTCCTCCTCGTTTACGCCGTGCATGCTTCCCCATTTATGACACTTGAGGTGGAATCGTCATGTTAGTCCTATAAAAAAAGAAAAAAACAAAATGTACTTTTCAGATCACGCACATTTTTTTTCGATATATCGGTCCTTGATTGGGGGACCATACATCCCAAATCAGAAGTCAGGGGAGCATTGTGTCCTTGGTAGCGTGCGACCCTCATTATTATGAAGGAAGCAATGTTGCCGACCGTTACTTATGAAATGGAATGTATGGTCCCCCATTCATGGATAGATACATGTGGACAAAATGCCCAGACCAATAAGGAAAATAAAAAGAAAAGAATATGAGCGTCCTCAAGGCATTTTCATGCCATAATTTGAAAGATTGTATTGGGACTTCATTACAGTATTATACATTCCTGATTATAACTACGTCAATACTCCTTTTACCTTTTATTTTTGTTATTTATAAAACAAAAATATTATACGCTGCCTTTGCTACGACTTCCCTTGGAGTCGCAGACAATAGTCTTTTAGTGTTTTTTTTTTTTTTTTTTTTTAACCTTAAGACATCGTAGTGAAACAACTTATTTACATCCTGGATTTGAACTTATGCACGTGGCCTATTCCGTACTCATTTTCCGTTTCTTATTTCTTTTCTCTCTTGTTAAGAAAAAATAGAAAATTATCGGTTGTATTTGATGTAGTTACTCAATGTAAGGAACGAGGAGCATTGCAGTGGATACCAGAAAAGGAAAAACACTTTGGGGAGTATATATATCTGCACATGCGACTTTGTACACATATATTTGAAGGCAATCACCCCGAACAACTAAAAAAAAAAAAACAATCTCGGTTGCATATGATGTGCCTCCCCGTGAGCAATGGGGAACATTTTCTTGAAGTGCTTCCAACAAAGGAATATCATGTGCTATCTAGAATATATCTGACTGAACTTCAGGCCCAGCCTAGGGTGGTTCACGAGTGAAAACTCCGTGTTGAATCTGGGTCAGTCGTTTAATATCCCAAATCAGATCCCACCTCCCTCCTGGTTCGGCGAAGCTTGGCGTGCAGGGCGAAATCATGGTCGGAAAAATAGCAGCTTGAGGTACCCGTGGTTTAACAAAAATACATACATGTGAAATACCTGAATCGATCAGTTCAATGATGTTATGTTAAGGTCCTCCCCCTTAAACACTCAGTACTCCGCCCAACTATTGATGCGGATTCTTGCAGAGCCTAAAGTCATCCTCCACGCCAAAACGGAACTATAATCTCATCTTTAGTTACTACACTACCTACACCACAGCTGTAAAACCAATACAGAACTCCTTAACAAATATGAAGTCTTGATATTATGAAGGTTATGCATGTTGCCCCTACTCTAATCACCTTTAGTAAAGAGGTAGGTTGGGGATGCCAGCGTGGGGAGGAATGTGAGGAGAGATCATGTGCGCCCAACTGTTACGAAAATTTTGAAACATTTATGGAGTAATTGTGCTTCCAATGTATGAACAAATACATAAAGACAAAAACACAAACAAATAAACATAAAGGTTGACAGAAATACACAAACAAGACATTACTTATTGGCTCTCGATCAGCAAGAGAGAATGAAATGTGTGATGCCAAAAAAAGATACAATAGTCATCACCCCTGACAATTCTCTCAAAAGCGATGTTGGCTCAAAGAGCAACATAAGAAGAATTACACATAATAGTAGGGATCTCGTACAAGCAAGCAACACGCAAGTAAGTTGAAAGAAAGAAACGTCGATAATTTCTTAAATAGAAATTGATCACATACGGAAACGAGAAAAACAATATTTACACAATAATTGCATCGTGACCAAAATGTAAGACATGAGAGGAAAATATTTATTGAATTGACGCAAGAAAGAGAATAAACAGATATGGGTGAAATTTCTGCTACCCATTTTGTGTAAAAACAATATTCTTCAATCGTGATGCAATATCTTTATGATGTATTAAATGAAAAGAACACTACCCCAATTTCACTGATATTCAATGATTGTGTGTAAGGTATTGCATTTCGAAAATATATAATGCATATCCATGACCACTAAAACAATGAAGTAATGTTAAAACAATAATCGCACTAAAATGTAGGTAATGGGAGACAACGTGTGATGAATGGAGGCAACATAGAAAAGAAAAATACTCGAATTATATTTTTGTAACTCATTTTGCATTAAAAAAAATATTTTTCAACTCTGATACATGAAGTAAGAGTGAAATGTGATCCTTTGAGCCTCCATGTTGAGTTTGAGGCAGAAACATTTAACGATCATGTACATGGAATATCGTGTTGGAAGATACATAAATCACATATAATCAGTTGTCGAAGACAAACTATTTGTAAATATTGAAGTTTCTATCGAGATTGCGTGAACGTTAGAAAGTGATGATTAGTTGTTGATGATGAATAAATGTAGTCAATCAATTGCAACTTTCGTTTTAAATATAAGTGTTTGACGAGCGTTCGACGTATAGTCTTTGGTAACCGCATACTTTTTAACGTGGAATCAATATAGCAGTAAAAAAAAGTTTACAAGCCTACTAACCAATCTAATAAGTTGAACTTCGTGATCGGGAGACAAAGCGGCATCGGGGGAGGGGGGGGGAGGCTGTAAAGGTTAACTTGAATATCACCGTACTTGGATTACTCCGAAAATTAATAAGCCGTCAATCATAACTAAAAATGTAAAGTCACAATCTATACATGACAAAATTTATGTGGTCGGTAGGTTCCTACATTTTTTATCTGTAGGAATGTTTTTGGGCTCAAAGTGTATGGACCAAATAACCAATATAATAGTACTAAAGTCAGTAAGAGGAAAAGAGTAGAGGGATAGTAAGGTGGATGGGAACGAGAAAGTGGTATATAGGGGTATGTCTAGGGAAAGGTTGCAGGATGAAGGATAAATTATCCAAATCAGCAATCATCATCTTGTATGATTCACGTGATTTAAAAAAAAAAAAAACACTTACGTCATTTTGTTCAAGTTCACGAACAAAGTGTCGCCAATTATTACTACATATTAGACTTCACTCAATGTATAACAAAATTTCAAAAGGCAGTAGGTGCCTATGGTTTGAGCCTATGTTGCACGCCCAACCACGGCCGGGAGGGTCTAGTCGACCGCGGCCTCGGCCGACGGCCAAATCGGCCGGGTTCGGCCTTGGTCGACCAGCCGAGTTCGGTGCAACATTTTTTTTTTGCGCTTTTTCACGTCGAAAAAAAAAAAAAAAAGGGGCATGTAGGGCTTTTTCAGCCCTACACGCCCATATTTATTTTTTTCGTGTCCGACATTCCGCGCCGTGCGGAAAAAAAAACCGGAAGCCGATTCGGCCCTATTTCAGTGTCACTGGGTGGGGGCACTGGGTGGGCACTAGGTGTGGGGGGGCGGTGGGTCCAGGTCCGGGCCACGGCAAATCTGTTGCTGTTTCAGATAAATGTTGCCATTTATCTGAAACGGCGACAGTTGCTGTCGTTGCCATTAGGCTGCCGCCCTGCCTGCTCGCACGCTCAGAGAGAAAGAGAGAGAGAGAGAGAGAGAGAGAGAGAGAGAGAGAGAGAGAGAGAGACTACCTGGTGAAAGAGAGAGAGAGAGAGAGAGAGAGAGAGAGAGAGAGAGACAACCTGGTGAGAGAGAGAGAGAGAGAGAGATCTTCTCCCTCTTCTTCTTCTTCTTCTTCTTCTTCTTTGCGTGGGCCCGCGGCGCACGATCGCAGGCGGTCGCCGCCGCTACGCTGCCATCGCCCAACGCGCGGTCGTCGGCGGGCACCATCGCCGTGCGGTCTTTTTTCGCGCGCGGCAATTTTAGTGTCCGGCCGCGGCTGGTCTCGGCTGATTGCGGCCGATCGAGGCCTATTGCGGCCGATCGTGGCCGATCGTGGCCGAACTCGGCTGGGTGCTCGAACGGCCTGAAGGGGCCGAGAACGGCCAGGTCCAGCCAGGCCGAGCAGGGCTGCAACATCTGGGCCCGCGGAGGCTGCAGCGGCGCCGGGGCCATTCATCGACGGAGCGCCGGGAAGGACGACATCGACGGACGACACGACAACTGTGACGCTTTGAGTCAGGGGACGATGACGGGGGGTGCGGGGACCAGCGGTATGGGGGGGTCTGCGGGTGGGGGGTTCATCGCGCAGTCTGAGAGGGAGATGGCGAAGTTGAGGCAGGGGAACTTGGTGTGGAACTTCGTCACCGCGGGACATCATGTGGGGAACCAGGCGAAGATGCATGGGGACCGAAAGTTGCGTTGCAACTTTTGCGCCCACTTGTTTCAGGGGAATGCGGGGAAGGCCGCATGCCATTTCACGCAGGCCAAGTACTGCAAGGCTGCGGGGATGAGAGTTCTCGCGGAAATATGGAACGGCACGGTCTACACATTCAAGCCCGCGACTGCTCGGCGGGTGCAGAGGTGGATGGTTGACGAGGGGGTACGAGACACGAGAGCGGCTACGGGTGGGCAGCGACAGCGGATGGACGAGGGAGAGAGGGACGATGTTCAGGACGCCCTCGATGAGGAGGAGGGTCTCGAGGGTGGAGTTGGGGAAGGGGGGAAGGCTGACGAGGGAGTCGGAGACCCTGACCTGCCAGGGGAGGAGGTGGTGATGACGTCGAGAGGCGTCGGTCGAGCGGGTCACGCTCCTAGGGCACCACGACCTGAGTTGGAGCGCGCGAGGAGGGAGAAGAGGCCGGTGGGGGAGGGCGACGTCGAGGTGCGAGAGACGGCCAGAGAGAAGAGGGCTCGGCAGACGACGATCGACGAGATGTACGACAAGGAGAAGTTGGCCGAGTTCCATGACGTGTGGCTGCAGTGGATCTACGCGAAGGGGTTGGCATTCAACGCCTTCCGAGATCCAGAGTTCTAGAGGGTTCGGCGGGCGGCAGAGAGAGTGTCGCGGACAGTTCAGTTCCGGTTTCCCTCGTACAGGGTCACAGCGGGCACCGGGATCCCTTCGCAGAGGGGGAAGGTGGCGTCGATGGTGAGCAAGGTGCGCTCTGCTTTCCGGCACACTGGTGCCACCATCCTCTCGGACGGGAGGAAGTCGCGCAGCGGCAAGCCGCTCGTGAACTTCCTCGCCGGGGGCGCCAACGGCGCCCTGCTGTACGCCACCGTCGCATGTGACGGGTCTGTCCGCGACACTGCGGATATCGTGTACCGCAGGTGGCGGGCCATCATCTTGTCCTTTCCTGCAAAGGATGTGATCGGCTTCTGCACGGACTCCACCAGTAACTATACGGCGGCGGCCCACAGATTCGCCACCAACCCAGACGCAGACATCAGGAGGATCACTTGGCTTCCCTGCTCCACCCACGTCTGCAACTGGATGTTGTCAGACGTCGGGACGCGAGTGGCGTGGGTCAAGGAGACCATCATCTGTGCCCGAGCGTTAGTGCGATTTATTAAATTGCAGGGCGCTTGTCTCAAAGGCCGGCGGGACGCGTTAGAGAGCATGCTGCCCGGCGACGAGTGGGCTCGCATCCCGTGGGACCGCAGGCTTGTCTCCCAGGCACAGTGGGTTCAGCAGCAGATCCGCGACGACGAGTTCTGGCGATGCGTTGACTGTGCCATCCGCGTTATGTCGCCCATCCACCAGCTCTTGAGGAGGATGGATAAAAGGGGGATGATGATGTCCATCGTTTACGAGTGGAGTCAACATCTTCTGGAGTTGATGAGGAGGGTGGATGTGCCGGCGGACATGGTCGAGCCGTGCGTGCGGGAGGTTGCCGTCAGCAACCTCCACATGCTCGAGCCCGCACATGCTGCGGCACACCTCCTCAACCCTCGTCGTCGGTCCCTCCGATATTATGAGTCGTTGCAGACGACCACCGACGACGCCCATGTGGTCAAGGAGTGCGACAGATTTCTGCTCACACAGACTGGCGGCGATCCGGTCGGCAGACTGTACAGGACAGTCCGTGACCAGATCAGGCATTTCCACTCGTGGCGGGGAGATTGGGGAGATCGGCAGTTGTCCGATGCCGAGGCCGACGACTGTCGGGGGGACCGCGAGACTGAGCGTTGTGCCCAGTGGTGGTATGATCACGGACGTCATCACCCTGAGTTGCGCACCATCGCCATTCGTGTGATGCACTTGTGGACGTCCGCCTCTCCTGCGGAGAGGAACTGGGCGCAGCACGAGCGCATCAACACGGCGAGGTGCCACAAGCTTGGCACAGCTGGTTGAGATTACCACCAATTGGCCGGGTGCGCACAACAGAGTAGTGGCTACGTGTTGCCCTGGGTTATGGGGACCGGTCTGGAGGAGACCGCGGGAGGGCAGGAGGACGACGAGGGCGACGCGGACCCCGAGGTGTGGGGAGCGTGACCTGCTGGCAGTTTTAGCGAGTAGGACATCGAGCGCCAGGTCGTCGCTTTCCATGCTTGTCGACCGTCCAGAGTTGACCCGGTTCAGGATGTGTTCGGCAAAAGGGCGGTGGAGCTGCGGCCGTGGCCGGAGCAGACGTCGGACGCTGATGCGGATGGCGACACGTCGGACAACGAGTGGACGGACGATAACGACGCTCCCGTCAGCGGCGACGCGACGGCGAAGCGGGTCTATTTCACGTACGGCGGAGGACCTGACGGCATGACTCCACACATATCCGTCATCACTGACGATGTGCCCTCCGGTGGTCGTCGTCGACGACGACCGCGTGCCGACGAGCACATGGAGGAGCAGGAGCCACTCCGAGGCCTTCGGCAGACGGGCAGACGTTGGGAGGTCAGGAGCGACAGCGAGCCGGAGGGGGCGGAGGAGGAGGAGGAGGTGCGCCTTTGGGATCGTCGGTTCTCTCCCTCTCATCATCGGAGTACGGGACCGCCCGAGCCTACCAGGCCGAGGACGAGGTCGGCATCGGCAGCGGAGAGACAGCACACACCAGCGACCGAGCACCATGAGGGGACCGGGCTCGCGGACATTCCGGAGATGGGGAGGACTCCATCCTGCGCCGGTGTGCGCCACCGCTTGCCGTCCGAGCTGCGCACCGACGACTTCTACGTCGGCGGCTCTGGCGGGGGTTTGGGGGATCTCAGTGCCCCGAGACAGGGGGGTGCCTCACTTTCGGACGTGCTCCTCGACGATTCTGATGTTCGGGGCCATGTAGAGACCACAGAGGAGTGGGATGCCCGAGTCAACAAAGAGGAGGAGGAGCGGCTGCGGACTTTGTCGGGATGGGAGGGTCGTTTCGCGTATGTGGAGGAGCAACGCCGACGCAGGGACTTGGAGACAGGGGGGGGCGACGGTGACGGAGGCGACGTTGGTTTTGGTGGGGAGGCTGATGCGGGGGCGGCCTGACAGGGTGTCCCCACGGGTGTTGAGGGAGATGGTGTCGCCGTGGGTGGTGGGGGGGAGGGTGGCGGCGAGGACGAGGACGAGGACGAGGACGAGGACGAGGAGGGGTCCGACCACGGAGACGACCATGGCGACGAAGGCGGCGACCACGGCGACGAAGGCGGTGACCACGACGACGACGGCGACGACGGCGGCGACCACGGCGACGACGGCGGCCACGGCGACGACTGTGGCGACTTTGGCGACCACGGTGACGACGGCAGTGACGACGGCAGCGACGGTGGCGGAGAGAGAGAGAGAGAGGGTAGGCTGGCTTTGGCCTTGAGGGACCCGTCAGTGCTTTCACTCACACGTGGTTAACCAGGGGTGTTATTTTCGACGAATTTTGCACCGAATTATCGTTTGTTTTTAAGTTTTTTGATGAAATTCACACCGCAATTGCCAACGAATATTTGGGACCCCGTTAACCGTCTCTCCTCACACGGCCCGAGGCCTTCGCGCAGGCTGGTTTTGATGCCGACGATTTGGCGCGACTCGGTTCACATGACCCTTTCCCCCACACGGGCCGCAGGAGCGACGAGAGGCGCCCTCCTGGAGGGGCGTATTCGCTCCCGCCCTACATCGTGGATAGCCCTAGATGGTCAGGTTCGTCGCTCAGCGGAATTAGAGGGAGGGAGTCCGGGCCGGTTGGTGGCGGGTCGGGCCGCCGCAGTGATGGCGCGGATCTGCCGGATCGATGCGTCCGCCACCCGCACGGAGCACGGAGGGCGGCGCCGACGCGACTACGGCCCGTGCGGCCGTTGCCGGTTCCCCGCCGCCTGTCACAGGTGGTGTTGCCAGCGGATGGGCAGCTCATCGCCGGGTCTCTGACCGGATGAGGGCGGATTACGACGCTGGGAGGGGCGCCTTCGCAGGATGTCTCTCACCTCAGTTTCTGGTCGTGGGCAGCAGCGAGGGTGGCTCCGGACGTCCGAGTCTTCACATGGCAGGCCGCATGCTCGGTTTGTCTCGATCAGCGACGAGGAGAGTTTTGATCCCACCACCGATTCCGGCCCGAGGGACAGCTGAGGACATGCAGCAGGGTCAGCACTACACATCCGGCGAGGAGGGGTTGCTGATGCGGAGTGGGACTAGACGACACAGCGCCGTCACGGAGGTTGAGGCTCGACTCGCAGCAGAGATCGCCACCAGCCAGGCTGCATTGGACGCGATTCAGAGGCATCGACAGACGATTGCTGCAGCAGGGGCCGAGGACAAGGACGCGGACACAGAGTTCGAGCCGATTGACAGTGCAGTCCGCAGACATAAAGCGGCCGTGTCCGCGGCAACTGCGGCAGCACAGGCGGCATACATCAGCGGTGCGCAGGGCACAGGTGGTGGATGGGGCCGGGGAGGAGCGCGTGGTCGACAGTCCACCGAGAGAGGCCGCGGGCGTCCTTCCGGAGGTAGAGGATTTGGACCTTCCGCAGGGAGAGGGAGGCGTT